GTAAGAAAAACTGTAACTATTCATTTTGCAGAAGGTGCTATTTTAATGACGAATGATAAAAATTTATTTCTACAAGGATCAATTCTTTTACCAGAAGAATTTATTAAAGGTTCAGTTGGAGCTGGAGATGCTTTTGTTTCTGGAATGATTTATGGAATTCATCAACAATGGTCATTAGATAAAACATTACATTTAGCTGTTTGTATTGCTGCAATGTCATTATCACATGAATCATCAACTGATGGAATGAAAGATATTGAACAATGTTTAGATTTACAAAAATATGGTTTTAGACAGTTAAATATCTAAATTATTATCAGAATAAGACAAACCAATAAGCGAACGCATATGTTCGATACTATATGATTAATAAGAAATATTAGTGGATGCAAATTTAAACTATGTAAATGTCTTTGTATTCAATAAAAAAATCATCAAACATGTTATAACTAGAAAACTAATAAAAATGGAGTTAATAGTAGCTAGAATGAAAATAAATTTGTCTTCGTCAATCGAAATCATCGTGATTAGAGTAAGTATATCTCATTCAGGCGCTGGAACAAAATGTTCCAATGATAGGCTTTCTTAGCAGAATAATGATGAAACTTATACTCTAATAAAAAAAGGAATTCTGATCAGTAAATGATACTATAGATACATTATTATGTCGTAGTTATGGTAGTTGTCGTTGCTCAGAACAATCAGTCCGACTATCAAATCCTATAAGGATGCGTTTGACTTGGCGGCAAGGGTAGACATAGGTGAGAAGGGAGGGCGATGTGCGAGGATGAAAATGAGTGTAGCATAGATTTACATGCGAGTGTCGTCATGGGTTTGTATGATCTTTAGTGACATCCTTATCCTTACCTTCACCCAAGGTCTTACGCTCATTATCATCGAAGCCTACACTCTTTGGTGCGAAAGCCTATCGCTGCTCAAACAATTTCGAAATAAGTTCGTAAAAAAAATCAAGAAATATATAATTTATTATTCTATTTATTAATTATTCAAATTTAAATATACAATTATTTAAAAGTCTAAAAAACTAATCACTGTTATGGAAATTATTACAGTTATTTCACATACACCCTGAAAAACAATATTCTCAAAAAACTACCAATCGACTTTCATATCGACCATGATAAACATTATTAAATTTTGTTTTCAAACGATAACATATATCTTGAAAATCTAATTCATTTAATTGATTAAACCGGTTGACACATAAATCAAATTTAAATTGATAAAGTGAAAATAAATGACTAGAAATTATCCCTAAAAGCCAATCATAACATTGTAAATAATGTATTGTATTTTCATCTATTGTTATTGATCGACTTATTCGAAAATGTTCAAGATTAGGTACACATAACAAATAATCTTCTAAAATAGTATCATCCCAAGGCCAATCATCATAATTCATATTTATTATTAAACGTTTAAGATTCATATGTTTTATAATATTTGATTGTATTTTGGATTTAATTGGGAATTTAAATTTTAGAAAATATAAGTTTGGACATGCTTGAAGAATTGATATATAAATAAATGAATTAATATCATTTACTTTTAAAAATCGTAATGAGAATGATTGTGTCCAATCTTGAATTGTACATGGTGGACGCATTCGTGATATATAACAATATTTTAAATTTGGAAATGTATTTGAAAAAATTTTTGTACGTAAATCAGGCATATAAAATGGATGAATTTTATGATATATGGATAGATATTCTAAATTAGGTAAAATATTTCCATTGAATTGTAGTATAAAATCATCTGTTACATAATCCAAAATAAGACGACGAATGTTTGTAAAATATCTAAGTTGATCTTGCATTTTAGTATCAACAATTAAAGTATGAATATATGGATAAGAAAGAATATGATTATCATTTTGTTTTGTTGAATAAATGAGATGAGTTAGAGATTGAATTAATGAATTAAAACGAATATTGAGATTATAAAATGATTGAAAAAGTTCCTGAGCTTTGAAATATTTCAATAATTCACTAATTAATTCATTAGGTAAATTTTCTAATAGAAATACTGTGTTAGTCATGTATACAACTAATCTAAAACTAAAATAAATGTTGATTATACTAGATGTTATATAAATTCTCCATTAACTAATATGCTAAGATAAAAATGAATGTTATCGTATTATCATAAGGGTCATATCATTGTAAATAAACTCTCTGAACTTCAAAATGAAATGAAGATAAAAATAGACATGTGTGATTTCATTCCAACTGATAGGAAATTAAACTCGAGGGGGAAACAGCGGACTTCAAGATTTCAAAGACGTCGAAAGACGTCAAGAGACTTCAACAAGCGAGACTTCAGTTTTTCGAAAGACTTCGAATGACTTCAATACACTTCAAAGATTTCAGATGACTTCAAAAGACTTCCAAGACTTCATGAGACTTCATGCATGAAGTCTCCGTTGTTTCCTCCTCGGCTCCTCGTCTAATACCTGTATCTATAAAAATTCTAGAAGACTTCATGAGATTTCATAAGACTTCAGGGACTTCTATAGGCTTCAAAGATTTCATTAGACCTCACAAGACTTCAAGAGACTGCAAAGACCTACTAAGACTTTATGAGACTTCATGCATGAAGTCTCCGTTGTTTCTCTCTCGTCTCCTCGTGAAATAAATGCATCTATAGAAATTCCAGAAGATTTCATGAGATCTTATAAGACTTCATGAGACTTCAGGCATGAAGTCTGTGTTCTTTATCCCTTGTATTTAATGTATGTAGGAACAAAAAACAAAGATTAAATTATTCATATGACATTTTATTCTTGAGTAATTTTGTACAAAATACAAAAAAGAATAGTTACAACGGTTTTAAATGAATTTCAAGTTGAGCTTTATATTGACCTTTATGTACATTGGTAAAATCACTTTGTATCTTTGTAAGTATATTTTTATCGATGACTCCATTTACATTTTCATCACTTGATAAATATAAATGAAATTTAAGTTTCCGAATGAATGGTAAACGAAAATTAATAATTGATACAAGCCAATCATATTGTTCAAATTCGTTTACAATATTGCGTGAGTAATTTCTTCGATGAAATACAAGTTGTTCAAGATTTGGTACACGAGCTAAAAACTCACTTAACGTAAACTCATCGTCGAACCAATCAGTTTCGCTCTGATCAACAATCATATATTTAAGATTTTTATGTAACTGTACATTTGGTAATAATTCATTTGATGAATACATTGAAAATTTAAGAAAATATAAATTTGGACATACCGAAAGGATTTTTTCATAAATTGATAAATTAATAAATTTCGTTTTTAAAATACGTATTAATGGTGATTGTGTTGATTTTTGAATTGTCATTAATGTTTGATTTTCAAGTAATTCACATGAAATTAAATTTGGAAAACGATTGGAAAATATTTCATTATGTAAAATATTAATTTCATACATATTATATGTATAAAAAACAGAAAGATGTTCTAAATATGGCACAACATTAGCTTTTAATTGTTCGATTACTTTTGGAAATGGACTATTTAATGTAAGACGACGAACATTTGGAAAATGTATAAGATTAAAATTAATCCATGGATCAACAATTAATGTATGAACATAAAATGAATATATCTCACCATTTGTTTTAAGAACATTAGATTGATTCATATGAAAAGTAAGTTGTAAATAATTAAATGCTTGAACCAATTGATTTAAACGTTTGTTGAGATTATAAAATGATCGAAATAAATTTTGAGCATCAAGTTGTTTAAATATATCAGTAAGTAATTCATTTGGAAGATCTTCTAATCGAGATTTATATTTATTTGTAGTCTAAGATGAAAAATAAATTCATGATTGATCAATAAAACGAGAAGACTGATATTTTACTAACGAGAGAACCACCCGACGTGTCAAAAAGCGTTTGGACTGAGATATCGACTATTTATTGTATTTGTCCTATGGGGTCATATCTGTGCAGTAAAATCAAAGTTTCAAATTTAGACTTGAAACTTTGTTCACTATGATCTCAATCAGAGAAACTTGCTTATAAAGTTTCAGAAATTTCGGAAAGACTGTCTCTGAGATACAAGTATGTTAGCATTAGACATGACCCAAACCCAAACTCAAATTCAAACCGTGTGGGAGTTTGAGTTTGGGTTCATGAGTTTGGGTTTGGGTTCATGAGTTTGGGTTTGGG